AGCACATGTCCAGAGGCAAATGTAAAGAATCAGGTAATGGGAAGCAGCTGTGAAGGGGAGGTGGATAATAAACCAAAGCGAAGCCTGATAAGTAACTTAAGAGAAATAAATACAAAAGTACAAGAAACAAAATACCAGAATAAAGAAGAAAACTAAATATAAAGGAATTACCAGATACTGCAAGACCTAACAGGCAATACTTATGAGACAAAATATGACAAGACCTGTAAAGCGATAATAAAGGATACAAACAAATGAAAACAAAACCCCAAAATCACCCTGGGGTTGTGATAGACAATCTGAATGTAGGAAGAAAAAAAAATGTGACGTCTTAGGCAAAAATGTAATCTAGAGCTTGCAAACTAGATTTCTACACCATTTCTAAATATCTCTGGGTGTCTAGAAACTGACATAATACTCTCAGGAAAGCTTTTGTTTAATCTAATCTTATCACCATATCCTCTGTTTTTAGAGGATAAGAGGTGCAAACGCAGCAGTAGCCACGTTTATCTCTGAAACCTGAGAAGTACCTGTCACTACACACACGCACAAAGCCTAACACACCCATATTACAGGCCTTGCTGCTCTTACCTTAGCTCAGGTCCACGTTGCCGAATCACATTCCAGGAGACAAAACGGTTTCTGTGTTTACGGCGGCGATGCCCGAAATAGAGGGAAGCCTGCTGCTGGGGAAGAGCGATGACGATTAGCTGTAGCTGCAGAGAATTCAGTGGGAAATGTCAGGTCTGCCTCTGAGGCGTAAAAGGTTGTGTATTTATGAAGTTTGAAGAGATGTCTGGTCAGCTGCTGTTGTCTGCAGAACCAGCACTGACCAGAAATACAGTTATTCTCAAATTTCCTATACATTTTTCCTGTTGGTAACAAAACAAAACAAAAACACACACTTGAATGAGCAGCTTCTGTCCCCCAGTTGTTGACAAAGTATTTTTGTGTCTCTTGCTCTGCGCTTATTTCCGTTTATGTTATGCTGCGTAATTTTCACATGATTTGAGCTGTTTTTCTTATTTAATGGAAAGATAGCAATTGCGAAATTGTTAATTGTGTTTTTTAGACATTAGCAGAATATCGAAGTTTTGCACACATTTGTAATGGTATTAGTAAGCTACTGTCTTACTAAATATCATGGAGAGTCCTCTCATTTTATATGTAGTTAAATTAGTGCCCTAACATTTGTTTGACAGAAAAAAAAATGTAACTGAAAAAAAAAGTTTAGTCAAAAAAAAAATTTCAATAACAACTTTTCAGATTAAAGTTTTTTTTTCCAATTCTGAAACTTTTTTCCAATTTCAAATCTTTTTTTTCTGTTTCAAATTTTTGTCTTCTGAACAAACTTTACAGCCTCAATTTAGCTCCATAATTTTCTATCAGAAACAAACTTCTCGATCGAATAAAAACTATTTTCAATGTAAATCTGCCCCGGGGTGAGAATAATTCTGGACATAACTAGAGATGTTTTAAAAATAATTACATTAAACATTTCTAACAATGAAGACACACGTGGCGGCGTCCAAAACGGGATAAAGAAGAGCAAGTTGCGGCTGTTCTGAAAACACAGGTGGAGAACAGGCCTGACTGATGCTGACACGCACTCTGTTTACAAAATCTGCTCATCTGCAAATACGTCCAACGTCTCCATTCGCGTTGGTTTTTCAGCTGCCGTTTGATTCCTGGGGGAAAAAAATAATCCCAGTGTAACAAACGGATTTATCTCATGCAAAAGAGGAACTGCGCCTTTCACGCAAACAGAGGGAGGTCAGGGACTGGCTGGGGAACAGGTGTCCCTGCTGCTGCCTGGCCTATTGCTGACCTTGGGGGTGGGTGTGCGACGAGGAAGTCGAGTCATCTCAGCTGCCTGCCTGCTGTTGTTGTCGCCTCACCTGTGTGTGCGTGTGTGTGCACAGGTGACAGGACAGATAACGAGCGCGGTGCAGACAGTCTGTCTGTATGGAGCAGTCTTCAGCGTACAGCAGCAGCATACTGATACTGATAAGGCGGAGGACGTTTATTATGTGTGAGTATGTGGACAACAGGAGGCGGCACAATTGGACCTCCGCTTGACTGAGACCAAAACTCGGATTAAATATGTTCCCTGCTTCCTGGATCACGTGTTTGAGCATTTGCAGAACAGGAGGAAAGTATTGAATTTAAAAGAAAAAAAAAACATAGACCCCTGAAGGGTTTATGTATAACTAGTGATAACTATGTCTGTGATAGAGTAACACAAAGTAGCGCTAACAGTTGAAACCAGATATTTGCATACACTGTTAATTGAAGCACAGAACCCCATTTGTAACTGCCATCCATTTTAAAGGCCCTTTGAAGCCGAAGCTGTAATGTTCCTGCAATATTTCCACAAAGTGAAGTGCACCAGTCCCTCCTCTGGCAAAACAACCCAACAGCACGACACTGTTGCCCCTGTACATCACAGCAGGGATGGCTCAGTTGTAGTTTAATCAGAAATGTCTCCTAAAATGAAGGTCTTTGTCCCTGAGGTTGTGTTCGTGTTGCTTTTAGAGTAATGGCCTCTTCCTTCCTGAACGGCCTTTCAGCCCAAGTCAGTGCAGGACTTGTTTCACCGTGGACACCAGCTGCATTTCCATAAAAAATGTTGGTAAAAACTTTGGTAATATTCCGCTAATGTAAAAAAAAAAAAAAAAACAATTTCGGAATTGTGGCGTTTCCACGAAATAACAAAAACAATTGCAATAAAGAAAAAATCACTTTGTTCACGTTTTAATTCATTAAAAACATACCGCACCATCATCCTCCTACCACTTCCTGTCGTCTTCTTTGTCTTTTCCGCCAGTAGAAACATCTGGTTGTTGATCATGTGACACTAAAAAGTGTTTCCTTTGCAGTTTTTCCAAAATACATGAATTTTGATATGGCTGGGAAAAAAAACACTTAATCTAGCGCAAAAAAAAAAAAAAATAATCAAAAAACACTTTTCTTTGAAATTGACATTTTCTTTTAGCAAATTTATTTTTGAAATTCCAATTTGAGCAGTTTTACTGTCTGGTTGCAACTTCAGAAAAAATGTTACGGAGGAAATAAACATAAAAGCTGGAAGAAAATCTGTTAGAAATTGCACATTGCTGCACTAGGAAGATACAAACAATAAGACAAGTTCCACCGTCATCAAGATGAATCAAACTTATATTACACTGAAAACTTGGAGTCGTCAACAACGTCTGCTGGAGGGAGAGTTTCAGATGTTTTTTAGATTTGTAAACCACGTTAACGGATGTGAATGTTCTCCGAGTTTTCTAGTTCCCCTGTCGCTTTGAATTTCCCAACGTTTTTTTCAGCTGCAGCAGAGACCAAGGTGACATTTCTGGTCCTGACGCTAACGCTCTGCTCTGATCACTGAGTGAGGCTGAGCCAGCTGACCAGCACTGACTCTGCAGGGTGGTTGGCCAATAAGTGCTGCTCAATGTGTGTGTGTGTGTGTGTGTGTTGTGAGGCTGCGATGGTAGTTAGAGTGGAAGGTGGTCCAGCAATAAAGCCAGGAAGCAAAGACGAGGTCAAAGGGCACGGAAGTGGAGGGGGAGCCAAATCTACTGACAGTGCGAACTCTTAACACACACACACACACACACACACACAGACAGAGAGAGAGAGAGAGAAGCAGTGAACTGCTGCTTGAAATACATCAATACTGCTCCAGTTCACTGCCCAGTAATTCTGTGTTTAAGTTTAGATCTATATAGTTGATTTAAAAAAAACTCAATGTTTTTTGTTTTGTTAGTTTTTTTGTTTGTTTGTTTGTTTGTTTGTTTGTTTTTACAAAAAAGTACATATGTATACATAATTGTGAACTAAAGACAGAACTTCTGAAGAAGACCAACACAGGCATGAGTTGCGTTTCCATTGACCGTAGGATTTGAGCAATTTGACATTTTGAAAATAAATTTGCTTTATGGAAACACGGCAGTTTAAATCGGAGGACTGGAAGTTAGAATTAGTTCCTGTAACAATGTTGGTGGTCTAAAACAAGCACAGACGCAACCAGCTCACTTTGATAATGAAAACATCAGCACACATTGCGTCTATGAATCACAAAGACTACCAGCCAGCAGAGGTCTTTTTTTTTTTCTTTTTTTTTTTTGCGTGGCATTGCTGAAACACATACACATACACACACTCACACAATCATTGAGTGAACACGAACAATGACAATCTGCACACCAGCTTGTGGTGCTCATTGTTATTTCTTTGCCATTTGGGTCATTTAAATAGAAAGCATAAAGAGTTTATGCACTACAGAGCAGATGGCTAAGTGTTCCTGCAGTTCAAAATGCTAACGTCACAATTTACCGGCAGATTGTGGCTGATCAAAAGAGACATAACGTCCGAGTACAAGTTCTAAAGGTATAACGTCATTTCTGCTCTGCAAATTCGTTGGCTTCAAAAGACAAGTTGTAAAAAGAAACTAAAGCGAGAGAGAGAGAGAGAGAGAGAGAGAGAGACAGAGAGAGTCTTGCTAGAATTTAGAAATACAGTAGACCCAGAAGGCGCAAACAAGTTGGCTTCAGTTCTAAGACGCAGCCTGAGCAAAGCACCACAAAGCAATCCAACACTATCTCCCACCTACACAGCAGGCAGAAGACAAAACAGCGAGTGTGTGAACAATCTGTTCCCTGTTCTTGGTTCTGATGAGCTGTTTCACCGTTTGACAAAGCCTATTGAGTTGCGCCGACGCCAAATGTCCCTGAATAATGGGCATTTTTTTGCCTACCTGTTATCTCTTTGAAGAACCAAACGATCTGAGCAGGAGGCGGCCTCCAGGTGTCTGAGGGATCTGTGATTGGACATAGAAGTGAAATGAAGCTCCATGAGGGAATCTGAAACAGTGATCACCAAGCAGGAGATCTGATTTAGCTTTTTGTTTTTTGTTTTTTTAGTTCTGCTTAACAAATCTCTCCCGGTAATTACAAGGCATCTGCTATGTTATGTTTCTAATAGATTTGCTTGATGTTTGTTTTTTGCTAATTTTTGGATGTCAATGATTCCCAACTGGATGGGTTTGACTGAGTGATTCCATCACATGAAGATGGTTTGGCTACATATGCGGCATTTTGGGGAAATTGTAGTCTGCAATTTTACAGAAGAGATGTGGATTCAACATATTCGAATCATGCAAGTTTTTGTGAACTGTGCGACATGCTATCATCCTACTACTTCCTGCTGTCTTTTTCAACGTTTTCCTGAGTAGTAACTTCCAGCTGTTGATCACATGACTCGTGTGATGGGGGAAAAAATGCCTCCGTTACAGTTTTGCAAATTACATCTATTACGATACGGCTGAAAAACGACGCCATTCTAGTGCAAAAACTTTGAGTTTCTTTGAAATTAGCAAATTTATTTTCGTAATTTCAATTTGCACAACTTTATGGCTAACAGGAACACAGCTAGGTCAGCTTTGAGCAGCTGACCTGCAGCCTCTACCATTGGTCAGCACAGCATCTTCCCTGTAATTACTAAAGAAAAGCATCGCAATAGCATGATACCTCCTCCATGTGTCACAGCGGAAATGTGGAAAGATTGGTTTCATCCAATCAGACCATTTTCTTCTGTGTTTGCTGCGTCTTCTACATCCCAAAAAGTATGAAAAGTACCAACAAAGATTTAGTAGGTAGGTAGGTTTGACGTTGGGTACAACACTGGAGTGGTTAATGCTGTACGAATCCTTGCACAAGGCATGTACAAAGTTTTTCTTTTTTTGTAAGTTGGTTGAAGTTTTGTGTCAAAACAGCCACAGTTGAGCTACCCCAGCAGGCTCCGCACGTCTGGATTGGATGTACTTCCTAAATCATTTGCAGCCACTTGCGCCTGCTGTCACGTGTTCACACAACTTTGTCCCGATCAAAGGCAGCCGCTGACGGTGAGAAATTAGTTAGCGGTCATCCGGCACACCGAGTCCCAGCAAAGACTTCTTAAGTAATGTTTGAAGAGCAGCTGCAGCGGCTCGTTCAAAGAGGTCTGTCAACAGCAGCAGGGACTCAAACTGTCTTCCTGTTGATCTTTCCTCCACGCTGGAAGACGATCTCTGCAGAAAGCCACCAATGAAAAAGTTAAATGTTTAAACTTTTTTTCCATGCTTTTTAATTGGTTGTAATTTATGTTTGGCTACGCAAAACAAAACCTGGAAACAAGCGCACGTTCTTGTGTTTTTATTTTCACGTGTCTTGTGAAATTCAGTAGATGGGGTTCAGTGTCAGGGCACCACCAAAGTCGAAGTATAAATGCAAACAGAAAAAGCTAACCCTTTGTCGTAAAATGGTGCCTAATTGAGGCTCCCTTCATGAACTCATTCATGTCTAATAAAGTGTGTTTTGTATGTGTCTGTTTAAACACAGAACATAATCTCTCTCTGTCTGTTAACACCAAACCGGGTTTTTTGACGGTAGACAAACTGTAGACCGCTAACTTTGCTGTCAACATGTAAAACTCTACTTTAAAAAAACTAACTTAACATTGCCTGAGATTTCTCTTCAAAATACTCCTCAAGAGTTCATCAAAGACATTATTTTTCTGTAGTAAACCTCAGAGATTGGACAGGAAAGCAACTTAGCAAACAAGCTAGCAGTGTGCTAGCTTCAGAATGTCATGTTAGCATGCTAGTTTGTTCGTCTTAAGGGGAAATTTCTTCAGAATTTAGCTGGATGAAATGTAAAGTTGGCCAAAAGTATGAGTGAATCAGTGTTGAATATTATTTCAATAACCCGGGGTAAAAAAAAAGACAACAAAAAAAAAAAAAAAAAACATTGAACCTGGCTTAATGGAGAACATACAAGCTTGAATACTTTTCCAAGCTGCTGTAGCAAAGGGTTATGAATCCAGTTGGATTTTTTTACATTTCTTGTAAAGCTAATGTAACACTACATATCACGAAACCTGCGTGACAACACTGTACACACCCATTACCGATGATTATGTTGGTTCTTGTGTTCTCAAGAACCAACAGCTGCGTAATGGATACAGGCAGCAGCTGAAAGTGAAATCCAGATTTTAATTTTGAGCAGCATTATGCTGATGCAGCATAAAGCCCTCTACGGATCAGCGAAGGTGCCGTCACACGGGCCCACTTTAATTGAATTAACTGGGGCTTTAGACAACAGGGTGGCCGAAGCCACGTGCGACATTCACGTTACACACTGGCAGTTTGTCTAAGCGGCAGCAACTGGCAGTGAAATCCAACTCTCTGTGTGGCAGCTACATTTAGACCAGGAAACATGGGGTGAGCGGTTCAGCGGCTGTAAAGGATTGAAAGGCTGGAGACTGACTGAGTGGGAGCCACTTAAACAGGTCATTACCGTGACCCCATGGAGCCACAGGGTCCTGCCATTCATCTACTGCTGCAGGAGGAAAAAAAACAGAAACCACACAAGATGCTGGGCGAGTTTAGTTGTTTTTTTTTTTAGTTTTGTTTGTTTTTTTAATGGAATGTATCTTTTCGAGGTATGAAAATAAATCTCCGTGGAAATAAGAAATTGGACAGTGGTTCCTAACAGTGTGGAATGATGAAAACAGAAAGGCATGTCGGGGAAGCATCGCACCGGCCGCGTCAGATAAAGGGCACGGCTCTGGCCCTGTGTGGAAGATGACAGCAACACAGAGGCATGTGCTGGATTAGCTGCGGTACGCTGGCGAGCGGTGGGAGACCCGCCCAGGAAAGAGGAAACATCATGAGCCACAGTGAGATAAAATACGTCCTGGTGGAACACAAGACATTTCTGAAGCCTCTGATTGACATGTGGCACTGACTGTTGCTCTGCACCGCCGCCTTCATATGTATTAATATGTTTACTTCCAGATAAAAACTCTCCCATGCCTTCAATCTGTTAAGCACAGAAGTGATTTTCTTTCCAAACATTCAAAAACTGAGCTGCAACAGAGACTGATTTGGATAGTTGTGTCCTTCTTTTCGCAATTACTAAAATGTAAAGTTTGTATCAAATGGTTGCTGCTCTGTTATTCGAGTCATACAAAAGCTGACTGGATCTAATTATAAGTAATGGATAAGGATTAGCTGTCCCTCTTCAGTAAATTGCTGCAAATCAGCATGAGACAACTTGAAACAGAGACGGTGTAAAGAGGTTAAATTATGGAGATCAGGAAAAAATGTTCCTGTTGTGACCATCAGTATTATCAGATGACTTTGTCATCTTGTATTATGATGGTGTTATTTAGGATCCTGTCACACCAGGAGTGCCATCAACAAGAGTTAGCACACCGATTTAAGGAATTGACACCAAATAGTTGGCAAGCTGAATATTGGCTGGCTAGGCAGCACTTTTGCTTTCTTTTAAAACGGTTCTACAAATGCATTCCAGTTTTGTGTTCAAAACCAAGTGAGATTTGCCCATTGCTGTGTTCGTTAAGGCTAATAGCATTGCTAGGCAGGAAATTGCAATCCAAGCTAATAGCTTTTAGCTTAGTATTTGGCCAAATAAGCAATAGCAACACTGTCAAAAACAGCTTGTTTGACAATACAGATTGTCACACTGTTTACGGACAGCTATTCGTAAGCTAACAAAGCAAACAGCTAGGAAGCTAGATTAGCTGGCTACACAGCTACATTCTGCCACAAAGAAAAACAATAAGTGACAGTTGAATAAATAGCAAACTTAGCTCAATTGCCAATTCTTACCCTATTTTGTATTCACACGCCACTATTTTGTCGTTCTACTCTTCCGTTTTGTACCTGTTCACACTCTTGTATTTGAGCAATCCCTTTTTTTGAAACTATTATGAGATAGTCACGAACAAGTCAACATCTCACAAGCGCAACGAACAGTTGGACCTGAGCTAATTTGATGTACCAAATCAAAATTCCAACTTCAGCATTCAAACCGAACGCATCATAAGCTGACAAAGCCAATCGCTCAGATGCCAACTTATTTCAATAAATTCCTAGTTTCTGTAGCCGAGAAAAAGAGCTTTGGCTAAATCTCCTAATCAGAGGAGCCTCATGACATGATAACCATTTTGTTGATTGTGATGATTCTGGTGTAGTTCTGATCAGTCGAGGTCTAACTAAGTTTAATGTAATGTTATGTTTCCACTAAGATTTAATTGAAACGGTCTGTGAAGCAGCTCAGTTTTTGAAATAGTCACCTTAACCTTATTGTCCATGGTTAAAAAGCCAGAGTACACCCATCACTTAAGAACATAGCAACAGCTTTTCCTTCAATTTACAAATGTAGCAAAATAAAGTGGCGGAAAGCAACAGAAGCACACAATGGAAACACTAAAATACACTGTTGAAATCAAGCATAGAAAACCAACCGTCAATCCACACAGCGCAATCATTTTCTCGATCTGTACATGTTTAGTGAGGTGAGAGGAATACTGCGCAACAAAAGAAATGTATCAAATGAGTCTTTGGCTCTGTTAGAAAATAAAACCAGAAGCACTGACGCATCTTATCCATAACGAGCTGGTTCAACTAATGTTCCACCCCAGGGAATGTTGAGAGAACGTTCCCTAAAAGTTACAGGAAGGACCGGCGTGTCACCGGGCCAGCCTTCCCCCATCATCGTCTCTTGAAAGTTTCAGGCTTCGTAACCTTTAGGGAACATCACCAAACGTTCCCCTCGAGGTTCCAATTCGTCAGATAGTCCAAGTCGACCGAATGCTTACCTCCAGTGACTCTCACACTTGACATTCAGACAACGTTTTTTATATATATAAAAAAATATATACACATCTAATAAATAAGGGACAAAACCCATTGCACGGTAGAATACAGATGTTTTCTCACATGCTTTTAGTCCATCAGTCTTTTGTGAAGCAAGTCTCTGTACTGAAAAGAGGAGTGAGGGCTGGTGTGTGGAGACCACATCATGAATTGGGGTGTGGGGTGTTCAGTTCTCCTGGAGAATGGAGCTTGGTGAAGCAGCAGCAGGGGCAGATGAAGCCTGGGTTCATTGTCTTCCTCGGCTGAGTGTCAAATTCACCTGCGGATAAGAATCAATTAGACTGACTGTGGTTTACACAGAGAGGCAGAGGAAAGGTAAAACCCCACTCTGGGCACAACAATAGAACCGCTTTTACAGTTATAGAGTAAAGGTAAGCATAATTACAAAATCCATAGACCTAATGCCTATAGATTAAACTGCTGATCTCACTAGAGGAGTGCAGGCAAAGGCTATTGTGGAACTACAAAACTTATTGGCAATAGTTGTGTCTGATATGGTTTTCTACATAAAAAAAACCACCTAGAGTTTCCTCAACTCTAGGTGGTTTTACAGAGGAGTCACACCTCATCAGGAGGACTGATATCTCCAGCAGGGGTCAAAGTATGCAACTGTAGCGCAGTGGCAGGCCCATGGGTCAGCAGGGAAACAATGACAATCAGCTCTAGCAATGTGTCTCATAGGAATGTGAAGATTTTACACGTTTTCTGCTTTAAATAGCCAAAATCAGCAGAATATTGTGCCCATCTGATTAGCTGCTAGCTGGCATTCCACCGCACGTAGTGCTTATTCATGTTTCTAAAACAAATAGAGATGCCATCCGTCAAGAAGTAAGGAAACTACTACTGATTATAACATTGTGGAGCTTTACTTCAAAAGCTCGAAAGTTTAAATACTTTGCATATTAGTATTTCTAGTCAGTAAGAATTGTTGTCCCCTTGTGGTGTGTACAGTTTTTAAGAAGTATGACTTGCATTTAACAGCTCTAGTTCAAAATGCTACATATGTAGACTAGTTGGACTTCAACTGATTTTTTTTAAACACTTTGACATTTTCAAAACGTTATGTTTCTGATAAAAACATAACGTTTTTATGTTATGGGGGGGGGGTCCAAGAGCCTTTAGCTCCAACAGGCTAACACCTTGTTTTGCTGTCAATTGTATTTTATGGAGAATAAGGCAACTTTTAAGCTTGTACTATTGTTTAAACAGGATGTTTGGGGGAAATTGTTAATTCTAATTAATATTTTTAAAACAATGAAAAATTTATGAACATCGAATTATACCGTAAGTAAAGGGGGAAAATAATTTTGTAGTGATGTCATTGGAGTCATCTAAAAACAGATCTACAAGGTGCTGCTGTGCTAGCTCTTGGGGGCTTCAATCAACTCCAACCCAGGCCCCCCTTTAACTTTGGGTCGGCCCTGTTTGAAAAACAAAATTGGGCAGATATGGCACTTGAATATACTTCCTGTCACCAGTTTTTTTTTAAATAGTTAACACAACTGATTTATATTTTTATTGGCATACACATACAAAAGTTGTGTTAGAAGCTCATAAATCAGCTGCTGCCACAGAAAAGCCACGTGTGTGGAAATCTGAGTGGAGCAGCGAGCCGCACTACATCATGGTGCAAATTTGGAAGTTATTCTACGCAGCAACACCTCAGAAGCTCCCGCGTTTTAAATTACTAACTTGGCCTACTGCACTTTCAATTTGTAAGCCGTTTCAATAAATATCTTTTAGACTTTGTGATTCTTAACAAGTATTAAATTGAGTCAAAACGCCTTTATTGTAATTTATAGTATGCTGTGCCTGCTTTTTCTTTTATTTATTTTTTTTTACACCCCTTCTTCCCCCGGTCCTTCTCCCATTGTCTTACCGCTGAAGGCGCGCCGGTGTTTGCGGGGCTCCCCGCGGGTCACGCCACGCTCGGGGAGCTCCGGACGGTCTTCTGCCCGGGCATCTGCACGACGAGCAGCTGCTGCTTCTGCCGGGTGGACTTGACGGCCAGGATCGCCTGCCGGTTCTTGTACTGGACCATCTGCAAGGTGATCTCCGCGTTCCAGCCCTCGTCCTGCGGGCACCTGAAGTCGATCTCCTTCCCCTCCGTCATGACAACGGTGAAGTAGACGTACTTGCCTTTCCGCTCCACGCAGTCCACCGTCTTCATGTTGGCGAAGTGAAGCTCCTTGACTTTGCCCGTGTCCCCGCCGTGCTGCTGCTGCTGCTGCTGCGGGTGATCGTGCTGCTTGGGCGGCAGCAGCAGCACGCCGTCCTCGGTCAGGACGCAGTGCTTCTTCTTCCAAAGCTGCAGCAGCCCGTCGCTCCGCTTCTCCAGCAAACCCTCCTTGTACACCTTCCTCCCGTTTTCCAGCATGTTCGGCCGACCGCTGCGGACCTCCAGCCTGATGGACGCACGGACGCTGCTTGATCGATGGCGCTCTATCCCGGAGAGGCTGCGGGCATGGGATGCAGCTGTGGCTGCTGGATGTGGAAGAAGCGCCTGACTAGCAGTCTGCCTGCCGGTCACTGTTTGTGGAGCGGCTTTTGGGGGCGGGAGGGGTCTGGAGAAGTGCACCGCCCCCCTGAGTAGAGTAAAACCCCCCGAGACCATGGAAGCCCGGTCATTAAGACTCCCCTTTATACTATACAGCGAGACCTCCATCTTCACTCCCCTGAGATTTTTCTTTTTTTTTTTTTTTGCTTGCCTTTTTAAAGTTTGCAGGAGAAAATCTACTTTTTACTACAAATTTGAATCCTTGAGGCTGTTTTTACATCCATCCATTACTAACTAGTTCTAAACTGCATTACTTCCACGATGTCGCATTAATTATATCACTGCTGCGGATCGTCTTTTCTTACTGTATATTTCTTGGTTGATGTGTTAGTGGTCATATTCCATTTCCAGTGCAAACCCATTAAGAGTCCATGAAGTGCCATGTGTTTGAAATAAAGCACCACAGCGCCCTCTGGCGAAACTCAGCGCGAAAAAAAAACTCCACGGAAGCGCAGGAACTCTAGATTTCTTAAGTTTATTTAAATATATATACTTTTTTTTAACAGCGGTTTTTCTCAAATCGCCAAACAAAGTAATGTATGGAACTATGAAGGACCGTACAACAAGAATAGTTTTGGTTTAAAATGTTTATTTTGTGAAAGAAAAAGTTCTAAATATTTTAGTTTTTAATATGTGGCTTCCAGTTTAGCTTAAATTCGTCATCTGCAAATACAAAGAATAAAAACTCCTTTAAAACTTTAGAGTTCATTATTATATAATATGAATAAATTAGGACCCAGGACGAAACCTTGAAGGACTCCACAACTGATTTAGAGCAACTTTGATTAAAGATTAATTTTTTTTTTTTTTACATGTTGGTACTGATCTTCCAGATAGCAAACGGTTTCTGTACTAAATATTCCCACATTAAACTTTATTCAAAGGTAAAGAAATATCACAGCCATAAAGGGGAATCGATTAGTTCCAACACCAAATTGATGACTTACATGTGTTTCAGTGAATCAATTTAAAGTCTATTAATACATTTCTCTACCATTGTTGAAAATTAAAGATGCAAATAAACTGATCTTTATCTGGGAAATGGGTGCCCGTCAGAAAATTTTTCATTCATTTCATTATCGAGACAAATTTCAGACAGCAATTCAATGACATTTTTCTGACATTCTTATGAAAACATCTATGTTCATTTTCCTGAGCTATTGGGCACAAAGTCTTTTTGTCTGCTCCAGAAAATTTTTCATTGCACCATCTCCTGGTATAAAAGGTGGCACCCGATTAACAGCAGTTATCAAATTTCCTTCCATGAGACAGGATATATATTAGAATGTTAGCTTTAATTAGTTCATATTAAACTTTTCCATGGAGGGTACAAAACGTCCTGAAGAAGGCATCACCATTTTGTACACAAATTAAGTTCAGTAAATGAGGTGATGAGGTACTCGCCTCATCATTGTTTAAAGTAACTTTTTAGAATTTGCTAAAAATGCTGTGGATTCTTGACCTGGCACTGAGCTTAAAGCAGCTAATTATTTCCAGGAGAAATGGAGGCAGCACACCATTCTAGATCTTCCTGTGAGAAACAAACCTGCTCCATCCACTTCCCCATTTCCTTCATTTTGGGAGACTGCTGCCAGAAAACCACTATCGATATACCTCTAATACAGACATGAGTAAAGCGGTTTAAAGATTGTCGTTTTTCTGTTTTACCATATTTAAAAGCTAGACGAGAAGATGGGCCTAAAGAGATTGGGTCAAATGGATCCCATGAGATTTTTACCTTGTGTGCGGTTCAGCAGTCACCCAAAACATGCACGAGCCTTTACAAGATTTGTTTTTAGTGTGTGGTTTCAAAAACCGACAGTCTGACAGGACAACCCCCCTTTGCTTCCACGTTGTCTGACCGTGACATCTGCAGTGCTCCCCCTGAGCATTGTGCGAGGGTTAATTTTAAAAAGTCAGTTTTTTGTTGAGCCTACAGAAAAGACTGGATGCTTAAGCATATTGACTAAGGCTGCTCCATTTCAAAATCCATAGGAGAAATCAACTTGTGATTTCTAAATATCCCCTTTGACATTTACGACTGCAACAAATTGTTCTCAAGAAAAAAAAAAGAAAGAAAAAAAACAAGGAGGCATGTTTAACCAATTTATTCAGGAACATACACGTACAGGTATTGAGTACATTAGTATTTTTGTAGCATAGCATTTCGCCTTGACAACAGCTGCTCAGGAGTGACCGTACAGAGGGCCAGTCGCATCTTCTCTCAATGAATATGATGTGAATGCTCCCTGCAGAATAAGAGATACCCCCGGCTTTCCACAGAGGACACGTTAAGGTCCAACACAACCAACATCTAAAGACACCAGGAGGGTGGCAGGCTAGGATTCCTCTTCTTAGTCCCTTCTTAGCTTTAAGTATTGCTCTGACGTACTTTCTGTGGCATTCTTGATAGGAGAAAATAAAAAAGGAAGAAGGTGGAAGCAGGGATGGAGGAAGGTCATTGGCCAAAACAATGGCTGTGTGATTTCCCCCCCTTTCACAGTGAATTAAATAAATGTACAAAGGACTTCAACCGCTGGGCTTTAGTCTGGACAAGTTGGCGACACAAGAGGTCAGGGTGATAAACGGGGGACAGCAGTAAGGGTAGGTGACTCCGACACTTTTTGCTCATCCCCTGTGCTACATCTGCCCAAAGATTTGATAAAGCTTCTGAAAACGTGCCCCTTTCTGTAGGAAAGGAAATGCACTTAAAAACCAGAGAGCAACGACTTCTGCTCTCCAGAGCGTCGTTACCTGCTCATCATCCCCTCTGGTCCTTTTAGACAGAGAGTGACAAAGTGCTGCTTACAAGGAATACTCTGCTAACTGATGACGCGACACCACTGGCACACCACACACTAGTACAAAGTGCAATAGAACAGACGACAGCCACGCCACAGCGAGCCTAAGAAAAGCCTTATCACGAGGTTACGGGACTGGTTGCAAAGTCCTTACTCAACAGAAATCCCTGGAATGTTCAAGAGACTCTACCGGGCCTATGCCGAGCCCTAGGAGCAAGGAGGTCGGCACAAGCACAAGCAGCGGGGTTTTGATGTATTTTAACAGTCTGTCTAGTTGAACAGCGGCAGACCAAGAGGTTCGTCGTTGAGCCAGTCTGCTTACTGGAATGTATCGAGAGGGAAAACCTTGAGGATGAGCCGCTTCTGGTAGGCAGACAACTTTGGCGTCCGATTTGGGGAGAGAAAGTAAAAGTCGGGAAAACGGGAATGAACACCCAAGTTGCAGGTCCTACGTTTGATGTTGGCAATGCTACAGTGCTAGTTCAAGTGCGTTCAAGGCGCCATTAATAATAATAATAATAATAAAAAAAAAAAAAAAAACACCTGGGACAGCCAGAACCAACCAACCTGGACATTGGTGGAAGGAAGGGGCAACAATTGGAAGGGGTCAGGAGTGGTGTGAATTGATGCCACTATGTTGCAGTCTAAACCACAGCTGTTGTCTAAGAGCAAACACATCCAAAAAACTTCACAAGAACCCAAACTAGTTTAGCGGTGAAGAAACAAGGTCATGCTGTTTGAGGGTGACATTTTCCTGTCGTCTAGCTATTGTACAGAGGAGGACGAGGAGGAAACGGGTCTAGTAAAATATCATGTATATGGAGCCAAACAGCTCGCAGTATATCACCACTGGTTTCGTAACAAAAATCTGGAAACTTTTTCTTCAAATTCCCTACCAAGAAAAATACAAAACATTATAAGGCGATAACTATTTTTTTTTTTATTTGTATGTTTTTTTTTTTTTTTCCTTTTTTTAATTTGAGAAGCCAGTACAGTGCAGTTGATCCTCATCGCAGCCAGGCAAGGACTCACTGTTGCCTGCACTCAGCTGGGGGGGTTCCGTCCTTCTGTAAACAAATCACAACAGGGTGGGGTGTCAACACCAAGCCTCCGTACAGTAAGACAGCCTACACATGAAGCCACGGTCAACAAGCAGCTTGAAGCTGTAGAGGTCACACTGCCTGAAGGAAGGTCACGGCGAGCAGCGTCTATTTGGCTTGTAAGAACTCGGTGCTCTGATTCGGGGCTTTTCAGACCAATGAGGACACTCAGTAATATGACTATATTTGCGACTAAAGTCCTTCAGTTATATAATGGAAATGTCCCCAATGGGTTTTTCCTGAGACTATATCACAAAGTTTTGATTCTTTTCATCCAAGTGGTTGGGCATCATTACAAGTCTGCTCTTTACAAGGTTCTAAACAAACTATCAGGACCAAGTCCCTTCTCGCAAAGTCCTCAATCAGGTTGAGGTCTGGACTTTGACTAGGCCACTGCATTACTTTATTCTTTTCAGTCAATCTGCTGTGTTTAGCATCTCTAGCTCTAGAAAGGTATTCATGTCTGGCCTGGTGGCTGAGGAGCATCAACTCAGGACTGCTAACCTCCTAAATCCTTTGGAGGCAAAACAAGTCCAGATCATCACTGCTCTGGTATGATGTCACTAACATGCAGTGTTTGGTTTGGACACTGGACATTTGGCCTCTTCCTCATTCTGTACAACGGTATTAAAAGAAGTGGAATGCCTGTTTTACAAACAATTTTAAACCCTCCAAAATGTCTTTGATGGGTTTCATTTTTAATCATTTTCCATCATGACTTCATCCACAGAAAGTGCAGAATCTGTGCTTTTTTTTTTTTTTTTTTTTTACAACTAGGCACATTTAAAACCTAACAAAGAGCAGATTTTTCTCATTTCGGATAAAAATACAGAAAATCTGTTTTTACAACTCAAATCAGATGAACTACAACTGAGAGGTAAAAACAAACCTTCAGTTCTGCTTGTAGCTTATTTTGTCAATGTGAGGCAGCAACAGAAACTAAACTTCAAATCCTTTTCACATCTCAGGATACAGAAACCAGGAATTCCCAAACAGAACAAGCGTCCTGTCACACTTTGGTTCGGGTGTCTCTGCAATCAGCTTATTGTTTAAATCCCATTATAGAAAGCACATGATTACTGCTGACCAACATCTAATTGTCAGGTTAGCATCTTAAGGTGACCTGAAATGCAGATTAGCATGTAGCATAAGACAACAAATGACATGTTAATGGGCAGTACGACACCAAATACTTTGCCGTCACATTTATTGGCACCCCTGGTTGAAATGTGTGTAAAGCGTTCAAATTAAACTTGAGTAGCAGAAGCACCATCTCACTCTGCAGGTTTTGGCAGGTCAAGTTTAAGACTTCAACAAAGCCTTGAATGAAACTCAAGACTAAAAAAAAAAAAAAAACAAATATGGGAGATGGTTAACAGATCCTTCTCCATTGCTCTGTGCTGGGAACAAAAGTAAACCAGTGACAAAAACAAACGTCAATCAGCTGCAGAAAAACTTGGATTTGCCAAAACAAGCTAGCTAGTTAGCAAGGGTACATTAGCAGCTAGTTAGAAGTAACTTCATCCGCCTCATGTTACAGAATGCGATGAAGATGTCTGCATGTCACTCCAAATTTTTTAAGACCAATGCCAAGTTTTATTTTTAACAAATTAAGACATTTTAGATTAATTTTAGATACTGTAGTCTTAGGATACACCTTCTCCAACTTGGGAAAATTTAAATTTTTACTGCATGCCTGGTTTGTGGATAATATAGTCATGGTAGGTTTATTTTGTGTTGGTTTGATCATGATCCTGGCAGAAGACCCAGTGATGGTTCATTAGTGTGTGTTTATGGTCGGAGGCCACCAGATTTTTGTTATTCATATTCTGACTAGTTTGTGACGTCAATCAGTCTCAAGGTTAAAAAGACAAATCACAAAATAAAAATTTAAAAAGTGACAGATTGCCAAAGTGTTGGGCAGCCTCAACCCTTAAAGCCAGAGTTTCCTCAATTTTTTTCAGTGAGATGACACTACTGCAATAAAACATCAATTTCCAGGTTTGTTTTTGCTGCACATCTTTCATGGGTACCAACAAAATGGAATTGGTGGTCGCCTACAGCCTTTCTGGGTGTTTGTGGAAACCAGAATTTCACCACAGCAGGAACAAAAATAAGCAAACAGGAGAGGGCTGGACAAGATTCAATACACAGAAATGGTACAGGTGCAAGTACTGATCTCATGGGTTAAACTAAAAAAAAAACAAAAAAAAACAAAAACTTAAATCCAACAACAAACTGGTGGATTAGTGTAAGTGCAGGACGGCGGCGGAGGAGGAAGAGGAGCAGGAGGGGAGTGCAGAGAGACGGCGGATGGAAACCAAAAGAAGGAAAGCCAAACTTAAAAAAAAATAAATAAATAAATCAAAATGGTAAGATGGTGGGACAGGGAGTTGATGGTAGTGAGCTGACAAATCGCAAGCTGTACCTACCAGGATAGGGTTATTTGTCTATAGTCACCATTTAAACCTAGTGAGGAAAAATTTAAAGAGTAGCTGACAAAAGATGCAAGTGACTGAAGACGAAGAAACATTAATGAACAGGAAAACAAACCTAAAGCACAACCAGCAGAATACAGAATGTCAAAAGACCTTGGAGCTCAGGAGGAAGCAGAAATAAGAGCTACAGAAAACGGATCAGAGCCGTGAAGCAGCCCTACAAACTACCTGCTACCTGTATGGAGCTACACCAGCCATTGGTTTGTTTCAACGATTAAAACAATAGAAAACCCAGAATTCAGTTTCTTAGAAAAGTAAGCAGTTCACATCACTGCTAAATTTTGATAGGAGGAGTGGAAGGAAAAAGTGTGGTAGAAAATGTGAGGAAGGGATGAACGTTTTAATTTTTCCCCAGGTACTTGATCTCAAGGAGAACTGTTGTTTCAAGGTCTGCTCAAAAAACACACAAAGTCCAAGTCAATAATTATAAGGAATGTAGGGGGCGCCAGACTGAACAGCAAAGATGATCTGGTGGTTGCTTTCAAAACATCTCAAGTTCATCTTAAAGCTGTGGCATAAAATAAAAATCAATCAAATAAATCTGTGGCACATTGATTCACTAACTGATGCAACCAATCGCTGCGTGCAGATTGGTCACACTTTTCATCAGCCTTCTCTTATTGGTTGCTTTTCTGTGATTCCAATTTTCTAACAAACTGAATTTTGGGATTTCATTAGCTCTGCGCTATGATCATCAGAATTATATAAAATCGTAAAATGACATAAAATCAGAATAATTACAGAAACAAGACAGTACTTCCTAAACTGGAGAATATGGTAATTAAAAATGAACTGTATAAGGATTTTGGATATGAAAATACTGTAACATTGTAACTGTTCAACATTATGTTAAAAAAATTGAAATAAATCAACTAAAGCACTTGCCGGACTAACCACTTCCTGTTTAAAAGGAAACTAGTTGTGTTATTTTTATCATTTTAGTTTCGGCATGCAGCATTCAATTTTAAGCAACTGATAAAAGATGAAATGCAGAGGAGGAAAGAAAAAAAAGCGTTTATATTCCCATCTTTCATGGGGAAACCACAGATAAAGTGGCTGTGAATGAGCTGAATTTGACAGTGTATTCTGTATGCTGAGATCTGAAAAGTGTTGGGAGGACAGCTGTTCTCCTGCTGCGGCTCAGGACCCCCAGGAACGTGAAAAGTGCACTGCAGAGAAAGCTAGCGTTAGCTGTGGCTAGCCTTCTGCCTGGAGCGTCCTGAGCCGACAGCCGGGAACTGCTGAGCAAGGTCTTTTCTCAGGACACCAGAGATCTTTAGAGGAAGTCATCACGGCGTGTTCTCGCCAGCTCACCTTGGGGTCGTAGTCGGGGTCGTTCTCCTCGTCGGCCTCCTCCTCGCCTTCCTGATTGGAGAGAAGCAGCTTTACGTGAGCAACTCTGCTTCAACGCTCGCCTCATTTCAGCTCTTTAAAGCCATGTTTACCTCATCGTCTGCTTCTTCGCCCTCTTCATCGTACTGGAACAGGAGAGGAAAGAAGAAGAAGAAATGCTTTAGATTCAGAGCCCTGAAGTCACAATGAAGCAAAAAATCTGTTACTGTGCAAAAGAGTAAAGACTGGGTGATAAATTGAACATTTTAATTTCTTTTTCCACCTATACACTTCTGGAGTTTTCTATAGTTCAGAGTGATATGAGTGCAGCCATCTTGTGTTTTTGATTTCAGGTCAACTCTGAAAGCATTAGGGACAGACCGTGTCTTTATTTTTTAATTACAAGAGTAAAGTCATGCAACAATAAAGTCAAAATAAAAGAATAAAGTCTCAATGCAAGCAGAATAAAATTGTAATTTTATGAGCAGCCAAATAAGAAAAGTAAAATTTTAAATTAAAATGAGGAATGTTGAGCATCTTGTGAAGTTGTACTTTGGTATAAATTTTACATATAATTCTATAACACTAATTAAATCATCATCGGTAGTAAAACTTTGAAACAATGGTGCAAACAACTTTCTACTTTGAAGAACCACATGTGTAGCAGTTTTCCCTGCTAAAATTGCATCTTTTTTCTTGCTAATATGACAATTTTATTCTTGTCATTAAAAATTCTCACAGCCTGGCCCTGATACTGTTATCCAACTCACAGAAGCAATGAATGAAATAAAAAATATTCTAAAAATATTTTCTGTCTTTTCATTTTAAGAAAAGAAAGCAACCCAAACAAATAAACATCTGATCTAGTACAAAAAGAAACAAAAGTGTGAGGTTTTAATTTTTAAGCCATTTGGCCCAGTCCTGTTGGAGAGAACACTCACGTCATCGTCGTCGTCCTCTATGGCCTCGCCGGTGAAGTAGAGCACGGCGCGCGGTACGATGCGCTCCCGGATGAAGTGGCCGATCTCAAAGTCTGCCGCCAGGATCGCCTCGGAGTCCTCGTCCTGAAGACAAGCGATCAACGTCTCACACTCCAAACAACAGCGTCACAGAAGAGGCGACGCGCTGCAACACTTACCAGCTCTCCGTTTTCTGGAACTGCAAACAAAAAAATAAATAAATAAATGATGATGCTTGAAGCCACCAGAAACAAAAAACCTTGAGCGAATTTAAAAGTCGTCTCTTACCTTCAGGCGGGGTGAAGAAGTTGAAGAAGGAGTCGTTGGGGACGGTCTTGGTGACGGTCCTCACCGTGCCGCGGCCCTTGTGCTTCTGCTTCTTCTTGATTGTTTTCAATGTGACGTTTTTTCCCTTCGTCCAGTCGATCGTGCATCTTTTGGGGGAAAAAAAAAAAAACTGTAAAAAACAAGCATTCTTTGTGAGAATCAAAAGTGGGAGCGAACGCTCACCCGACGCAGCTCATGATCTCCGGCCCGTCGAAGGAGAACGGGTCGCTCTCGTCCGGTTCCGACCTCATCTTGTAGGTTTTCGATAACACTGTGTTTGTGAAGAACTCGTTGGGTTCGAAGTGGAACTCTAATGTGAAGCTCTGAGGAGAGAGAGCACAGATTAAAACAAAAACCAGAGCATTTCACTTCCTGGTTTTAACCATCTAAATAATGCCGACTCACCATTGGCTGACCCGGATCGGAGAACTTTACT